GGAAGAGTCATAATGCAGTAACTCATCATTGCTGACAGCACTAGGTCTGAGATCAAACTCTCCACCACTCTGAAAAATTGGGGGGTAACAAATATCGACATTCTCTGCCTTCAGCTTACAGTTCACTTTTGAAGGTTCTAGTATAACTTTTTCAGTCTCCTCCATCAATATTGAATGAGAGACTTTCTTCTCCTCATCAATTACATTCTCAAGTTTTGTAACCACAAAGTTTTTCATCACACTAGTCGTCAGGTATGCTGCTCTCTTAATTGATGTAAGCTCCTCATTACTCTTTACCACAAATAAATATGACAACCCATTGGCAACATCAATCAGATGAAATTTTGTATTTTTTAATTTTTCAGCCCATGCTTCAAGCAGTTTCCCTTCAGGAGCCTCTCTTGATATGTATCCAACAGTGGAAGAATCATGGTCATCATACTTTGATTGAGCATCGATGGCGCAGAATATAGCATCCATTAGAACAGTCCCATCATCTTTTTTAGATTTGACATGCAAAACGAGATCTACACCAACTTCCTCTCTAGCAGGTTTTTTGACAGCTTCAAGAATTGAAGCCTTTTTTGGGCTGCACAAGATATGGATCTGCTTTTTCATGAAAACCATAATTGTCTCCGGGAACTCAAATCCAAGAAGCCATAAGCTCAGAGCAGTAGATTTCAGGTAACGCAGGTCTTCTGAAGGTGGAGGACATGCAATTGCTATTGCATTGGAAGAGCCCCACAGATCTGTTTTGTGTTCATCCCAATGTGAATAAAAGGTCTTCAATCGGGATTGAAATGCATTCAGATCAATAGAATATGCAGTTCCTGCTGCACTGGCCTTTCCACTGGGAGGTTGTGTACTTCCATGTCGAAGATCTGCCATAGTTTGCTACCACTCTGGAAAAAAAAAAAAAACAAATAAAAGAAACCAAAAACATAAATAAGAAAGTTGGCAAACTATTACCGATAAAAAAAAGCCACTGAAAGAGTGGGTGCTTGAAGAACAAGGAGTCTTAGTTTGTGATGTTTTGTCTCAATAAGAAATTAAACCAAGAATTATAGTGTATTCCATTCTCATTTTGCTAGTCAGTCAAGTAGTTGCAATGGAAAACAACTATTTTTGTGATTGTCATATTCCTTCTCCCATATTGGATTTACATTCTATAAATATTAAAAAATACTAATAAATAGAGATAGACTGATTTGTTTCATTAGACTCCAACAAACATTATTCACACACAACAAAAAAAAATTTAAAAGATATTACAAGGCAAGTAGAAAATTTCGTTCGGAGATTTCGGTAGGAAATGTAAATGTTCTGCACCCATGATGATCAATTCCCATTCAATGGATAATCGGTGGAAGACTTTAGTTGTGTGAGAAACAGAAAACTGAATTTTCACAGCATTTCAAAAGCTAGACACAAATGTATAGCAACAGTATTCATTAGCTGTTACGGTTACAGGTATCAGTTTTTGACTAAATAAAAATAATTTCTTTGCACCCAAAGATTAAGGAGTCAATCTATCAATATGATACCAAGCATTGTAACCTCCTACCAATTCAATGGTTAACTTTAATACTTGCCAACATTATCTAACTTGTTAATCACCGAAGTAACATAAACCAGAATTAACTTTGATAAATATTCATGGCTAATAACCTAATTGCTTCTTAAAAGTGTCCATTTAAAAGAGGACAAGCTGTCAACTAACTCATTACAAGGAACAGATACAAGCCTAAAACCTCAGGGATCAAACAACAATTTTAACTTATCTGTTTAGGATTTCAGGGAAAACCAGTTGGTTTCCAGATATTACGGATAGCGTAGTTAGATAAACATTTCTTGAAATAGACAAATATAATTATCTTTTGGAGAGAGAAAAAATGACCCAAACATCCAAATCAATCTTTTCACACATGTCTATATATTTATTGTCAGCAGCAAATTAAAAAAAATAATGATAATTATGAGTAAGAGAGGTTAATAGTGGCACTGTTTTGTTTGGTCATTGATGTTCATCAGGTACAGGAAAGGGTGTCCTTGGAATTGCAATTCCACAAGCACATCAACTAGTTGGCTTCTTCCTTTCTTTTTTTCGTCATATATGTTTTTAGGCTTTTATTTGAATAAATAGTTGAGAGAAATTATTGTGGATTTCTCATGTAGGCCTAATTCAATGTTTTAAAAAAAAAATATGGACATATTAGAATAAACTTCTCCACAAACATTTCTAAAAGAAAAAATTAATAAAGAAAAATAAAATAATTTTCTCCAACTATGAAGCCGGGATACTCCAATAATAGAAAAGTATCGGTGTCATACTTGTGCCGAATACCAATACTCTTCAGATACTTCTAGATACATATCTAAAAAATATCCAATCTTTTTTTATTTATTTTTTAACCTTTTTTTCTTCAGATACTTCCGAGAATGAGATACTTATCAGATACTTCTAGATATGTATCTGAAAAGTATCCTTAAGCATTTTGTACAGTCATATATTTTGTCATACTGTGAAAGGAATTGGAGTACATACTCCTTTATTCATTCTTTGAAGAAAAACAAAATGGATCTACAAGGGTAAATGATTTGGTTTAGCATCATTTCAAAGCTTCAACTTTTGTCTATGAAAGATGAAGGATATAAGAAAGGAGAGACTAGGTTGTGGGACATTGGTAGAGATATACATCATCCACTTGATGATGGTGTTAGATTTCTTGAATTGACAGAGTTGCCTCTTAATAAACCAAACTTTGAAACTTTTAATTTTCCTAGATGATAGTAATAGGGGAGAAGAGAGTGATACAATAAGAACTAGATAGTAATGAGGCTTTTGAGACATAGGTCACTGTATATAACCAATACTAGTTTTAAATTCTACCAAAGATGCTTTTATTAATACAGTTATCTTGACATGGACAAAAACTGTATTTTTTGTTGTTATGATCACAAAAATATTTTTTGTAAATTATAATCATCATAGTTATGAATTAATGAGAAAGAATTAATATCTCTCGTTTTTCCAATATTCTACATGTATATAAATTTTTCTATAAAATTTTATTAACGTATGCAAAACATATTGTATCCTAAATTTTGAGAAGATTGTCGTAACTCCATATATAGCTAATTTATTCATTTTTCTCTCCTATTTTTTTCTCCTATTTTTTTCTCCTAGAAGAACTTGCAGATAAATTTATCCAAACAAATTCAATAACTGCAATTTTCGAGAAAGTTTAAGGGTTTCAGTCTCCATAACAGCAATTGTAGCCGCATTTGTCCCGAACTTCCCCCAAAATCAAGAGCGATACCGCAATTTAAAACCTCGGCCTTTTTTATCCGACTAAATCAATAAAAATCAAAGACGTCTACTACTTGGATTATAAAGTAATTGTTATTGTGTCAGACGAACTTATGCAATTATCAAACATAAAAGTAACTTCGCATGTATAAGCAATCAATTCAGTATGGCCAAAACCAAAATGAAGAGCGAGAGGAAGGGAATAGAAAGCAGAAGAAACGAACCGAGAGTGGTTGTTTTCACTTCCAGGAGGTTGTTACTTGTTATCGGAAGCATACTTATGGATTGAGTGAAGAGAAGGTGGCGCTGCAGAGAGAAAGATGAGTGAACTGCGAGAGTAGCATTCAACCCTAAAAGGCGAAGCGAAGATGCGAATTTGCAAGTGGTGAGGCACTGGGCCAAGAGAGGGAAATTTGGGATACTTGTCAAACATAAACTTAGGTTAGGTTAAGGTGGGAAATTTTGAGTGCCCATAGTGATATTTCGAAGGGCCCATAGTGATATACTTACTTTTATACGATTACTCCTTACTCCTAACTTTCTGAAATATTACGAAAACCATCATCACCCACCAAAATATATACTTACGTAAGATTCACGTATTTAGTTTTATCTCCATCCTATATAATCTACATGGAATATAATATATATTACATTAAATATTGATATATAATATTTAATTCCGATTCTAAAGGAAGAATAATATCGATCACATTTATGAATGTTTTTAAGTTTTATTTTTTTCTCACACTTTTTTTATTATTAATGGAAATTTTATTAAAAATTATAAATTTTATAGTTCTCATATCTCAATTAAAAAGATGATTCTGATTTAGGACTAAGATAAAACCTACTAAAATTTGAGATTTTCAAGTTATATCAAAGAGAATATAAAAAAACATATGTTAGAACGAGTGTTATTATCATTTTTCTTTTTATTTTTTGTCCACAAATATCCTTTAAAGAAATCAATTTTTTTTGATAATATGATATTGGTAAAATTATCCTCCAATTTTGTCGGAAATTAGTCTCTCAAGATCTTAACCTTACTAAAATTATCCTCTAACGTCATTTTTTTTATACAACTTAAAACTCAAATTCGAAACCTTGATGCTTAAATATTAGAGTAAATTTCTTTTTGGATTGGAAAGTTGAAATCCTTTGTTAAAATTTTACTTAGGATTTAATATTTAATTAAACTTAAAACATGTATTTAATTCCCATTAAATTCTGAAGTATTAATTTTGATAAGTCTTTACTATTTCATTCTTCAAATTTCAAAATTATTGTAAATAAAATAAAGAATTGGTTTTGCGGATTGTAAAATATTTTTATTTGATTTTCATTTTTTAATTTTGAACTCCATTATTTTATTTGAAGCTAAATAATTAGAAAATATATGACTAGTGTTGTGAAATCTGTATAGATAAAACCAAGTAATGACTAATGAGTAATGACCTCGGTGAAGCTGTTTAAAAATATGTGGTAATAAGAAAGAATGTAAATGTGGAAAGAAAAGAGGTTGCAGTGCGGGCTAGTCTATTGGATCTTGGGCTGGAAATGGGTGGCTCAGTGCGCCTGGCCCAAGATCAAAGCCATAAATCCTATGCTTCTCAAGCCACACCCTAGTCCGTTGAACAACCCCAGCCTCTCTTCCAACTCGATAGCTCACTGTGAGTGGGTTATATAATTTACTAATTTTAACTTCCAACTTATATAATTCAAAACCCTGGTTACTAATTGTGTAGAAATTTTTGTAATTGTATTCAATTAAGAGATTAATGTGACCACTATATAGTTCCTTCTTCATGTATGGGTGATTGAGTCTTGTGTTGTAGTTGGCTACTAAGTGGCAAACGGGTAGTTTTTTATGTGCAAAGAAAGCCAATGAATTATTGGGGTTCATCAGGTTCTGTTTCGTGCTTATGCAAACAAAATTCAGTGAAAATCTATGATCATGGACCCATTTGTCCTATTGATTCTTTTCTAGATTCTCGGAAACAAAATGGAAAAATATCACCTGAGTCGAACATGGTAGATGATTCCAGAACTGTAATTTTTAAGGAATAGAGCTGGTTGTATATGCGTATAGACATAGTAACTTCTATAGCTTGCTTACTTTGTTTTGCTTCTGTTTTTTTGTACAGTATAATCCGTGATTTATTTGTTGATTTGGATGTTGTCCTCAATAGATTGAATGTTCATGTTATATTTTGATGTTAATTTCTGCAGTTTACACTTGATTTATGGACATAAACTTATTTATGTTTATGTAATTGTTATTTTGGATAGAGTACTTTCTAATTTCAAGTACTCGTGTGCATTATTTGTTTTGTTTTTTTTTTGGTCAGCAAAAGAAATTTATTAATACGTAGGCACTAGAAGTACCTAGAAATACAAAGGTATTTACCACACTTTAACAAGTGATAAATAAGAAATGTTAATAAACCCAACCAAGTCTAATAAAATATAAATCAATTATAAAAGCAAGTTCCAGGTGAGTTTTGCCATTGACTGAAGGAGTATGAGAAGTCCTTTGTCAGTTCTTTTAGCCAAGCTCAAGAGAAATACAAAACGTCCTGTATCACTTTGTTAGAGTAAAAAACTTGATTTTTATGTAAAGATGCATTCCTATGTCTCCAAATATACCAGATCACAGCACACCAAAGTACTTTCCATCTCTCTCTACAAGTAGTGTTCCAAGATAGCATAGGATAATGATAAAAGTGTAAGCTCGGTGTACCTGGGAGAACAGACACGATGTCAAACCACCAAAAACAAGTTTTCCAAACCTTTTGAGCTTCTTTACACCTAAATAGGACGTGAGTTATAGATTCTGCCTCAACTCTACAAGCAAGACACAAAGCGTCCTCTTCCACAAGTTGGATATTCCTCTTGATAAGGTTGTCTAAAGATGGCATCCTGTTTAAGAGGATCCTCCAAATGCAAATAGATACTTTCATAGGTACCTTAGTGTTCCACACATCCACAAAAAGAGGTTCCTGTTATTATCATGTAGCCAAGGAGGTTTTTAGTTAATGGTAATGTTTAAGTTTTGTTGTCATTTTCTTTGCCATGGCTTTAAGTTTCTTGATCCATCAAACAAAAGCATAAGTTTCTTTAAGTTTTGTTATGTCAATACTTAGATGCAGCTTTTGCTGAATATGTGATAGGTACAACCCGTTAATGTGTGAAATTTCAGCCAAAAGTTAGTGTCCGGTTTTTCATGTCAAATAGATTCTGGTTGACTCCTAACATTGTATAACAATTTATGTAGCAAAAGATACTGTACAATGTATTTCAAGCATTTTCATCCGCTAATACCCATCATGATGAAAAAATCCTTACTCTGTTCACGAAAATGCTTTCAATTTTTAGTTCCTTGTACAAAAGTAAAATTCTATAGCTGTTGGGAATCGCTCTATTCAGACTTGAGAGGTTTGTAACATAGAAATGCTCCGTTTTCAACACTCTGCACTAAAATTATTGTATATCAATCTTTCATGATATAAGCTTGTAGTCTTAAATGACAATTATTTTGAAAAATTAAGTAGAATGGAATTTAATTTCACGGTTTATACTTTATATGACATACACAAAGGCAATGGAAGTGCTTTAAAAGGTGGTCCATCAAGGAGGCTTTTTGTTAGAGTAAAACATGGTTTACTTGCATTATTATATTGTAGATTATATTGTCCCCTATTTTATTTGAGATCTGTTTTGATGTTTCAAGACCTCAAAAGAAGCACAATACTAAAAGTATCTAGCAACCTGTTTTGATGTTTTAACTTTTAAGTGCTATGAGTTCTACTATTCCAGTGCCAGCCTGAAACCACAAGAGTAAAGAATTAAGCCAGAAGGATAAAATGGATTAAGGAGTTTAAATTTCAATTGATTTTAATAATTTTACCTTTGATGAGCTCTAATAGGAATTGTCAAGTAGTTCTGTTTCCTTTTTTTGAAATTTTTTATTTGTAATTTTAATTTTTGAAATTGGCTTTTATGCTGGTGCAGCACCACTGCTATAACCCGGATCTTGGAGTGCTTTGTAGCCATAAACTGCATTGTTGGGAGCTGGCTGCTCAAGGTAACTTGGTTGTGAATGTGAAGTTGGTAGTGTTAATTTTTATCACTTTTTGTTACATTCCCTAGCTAGAGCAGAATTGTATAATTCCATTTTTAAAATTTGTGATTGAGAAACTTGTGGAGATATGCAAAACTAGAATATGTATTCATCTCAAATGTAGCTATTCATTTTAGAGTAAGATCTATTCTTGAGGTTCCCATATTACATTTATCAAATCATTCAAAAGGAGGACAGCAAAAGCAAGCTTTTGATTCACTTTTCATTATCTTTATTTACTTCAATCTAGTATTTCTTAATTTTTTTTTCTTTCTTTTTCTGCTTTGGTGAAGATTTGATTTTCTCCTATTCACGGGTTGTTTTATTTTAACGTACTCAAAATTATCAGTATTGTTTTGCTTTTAAATTGAGAAAATATAGTTGCAGATATAATGCCTTATTTGGTGTTCTTTCTCATTACAATTTCATTTGTCTAATTTTCTGTCTTTATTCATTTTCAGATTTGGTATGTGAGTGGTTGAAGCCTTAACCATGGCATTTTGTCTTCCTCTCTCATTCAACAATCCCAAACCAGTCATTTCCCTGAGTTCCAGCTTTATTCTTGGAAGAACAACGCCTTTATTCTTTTCTATCAATGAAAGACTAAATCCCTGTAACAATCTCGATAATGTCTCAGTTTCAATTTCTTGCTCCTCTAAACTTGTACGTGACCGTACACTAGACAGGCATGTTGTCATGAAGAATAAAATTAGGTTTGTTCAAAAACTAAAAACTTTACTTCTCTCTAAACCGAAACATTATATTCCAGTTCACATTCTGTCAAAATGTCGGTCTTATCTTTGTCTTTCCAAGCCCCGTTCCATACTTTCTATGATCCATCGGTATCCATCCGTTTTTGAACTCTTCACCATCCCATGGCCACCCAAACCACTCAATGCAACGAAGTTGCATAATCAACTGTGTGTTCGATTAACTCCAGCTGCAGCTGCGCTTGCAGCTGAGGAATTGAATCTTCAATCTTCCATTTCCAATATGTTGGCAACCAAACTCCAAAAACTTCTTATGCTGTCTTCTCACCACAAGATACTTCTTTCAAAATTGGTTCACTTTGCTCCAGATCTTGGTTTACCTCCTAATTTTAGATCCCGGTTGTGCAATGACCATCCAGACAAATTCAAGATTGTTGACACACCCTATGGCCGTGCTCTTGAGCTTGTATCTTGGGATGTCAACTTGGCAAATCCTTTGTTGCCTCCTGCATCCCATTCTCTTGATTTAATAGTTGAGCGTCCTTTGAAGTTCAAGCAATTGAGACTTCGAAAAGGGCTCAATTTAAAGAGACGTCACCATGATTTCTTGCTAAAATTTCAAGAAATGCCAGAAATGTGCCCCTATAGGAACCCTGCTGAGGCTTTGGCCAAGGAATCATTGGAGGCAGAAAAGAGATCATGTGCACTAGTAAGGGAGGTTCTTGCAATGACGATTGAAAAGAGGACTTTAATAGACCACTTGACCCATTTCAGAAAGGAGTTTGGCCTCCCAAACAAGTTGAGAGGGATGATAATAAGGCACCCAGAATTATTTTATGTGAGTTTGAAAGGGCAACGACACTCAGTTTTCTTGGTGGAGGGGTTTGGCGAGAAGGGTGACTTATTGGAGAAGGATGATGTTTTATTCTTGCAAGATAAATGGATGGATTTGGCTAGGGAGTCCAAGAGAATGAGACAAGAGAGAAGGAAGGCTAGGATTGACAAAGATGATGGCAGCTTAAATGATACTGATCAAAATAATTATGACAGTGATGATGATTACGATGACAATATTGAGATTGATAATTTTAAAGATGGTTATGATGATGGTTTTGAGGATATATTTGAAGATTTGGATTTTGAGGATGAGGATGACGATCATAGAAACAAGTTTTATTCCCAAAACAACAATGGAGAATTTTGGATTGCAAGACCTTTTCCTATTCAACATGGTTTGGATGGAGAACAGACACAACCTTGGTAGTTTTAAATTTGAAGAACGAATTTTTTCCTATAGAAGTAAAGGGATGGAGATAGTTCTAGATTGCATGTACTCAAGTGGTAAATGATAGTTCCAGACTGCGTGTAGCATACTGTGATGGAGATACTGCTCTATGCTTGACTATGACTATAGTTGAAAGATCATTCGATGTAAGATTGTGTACATAAGATAAGATTTAAGTAAAGTATAGAAGTTTAGAGGCCTATTTTTGTGCTGAAGCTTTCATCATAACTTGGCATATCTATGAATAAAGATTCTATAAACAAGTTGTAACTCCTATGTGTCAATCTCTTGTTCTGAATTCCCTCCCAAAATCCTCATTCATTTTTATACATTTCTGCTTAACGTTTAAAGAACATAGTATAAATCAAATAAAAAAAAGACTACACTCTGCTCTGACCTGCAGTACTGTCAAATAATCTTTCTTTTCATGTTTCCCTTCTTGCTTTGTCTAATGGTTGCTTGAAAAATACATGTTGCTATCTTCTTTTTCCCCTTTTTGTCTGTTCTCTTCCCTTGCCATTTTGTTTCCTTCTTTTTCAACAAATCCTAATGTTGTGTCATGGGAAGCGCCTTCATCCGGTGTGGACTGGGTAAGCTCTTATACTCACACTTCATATTTGAAATTTTTTTTTCCCATCTTTATGATAATACATTGTATTTTTGTTTCTTTCATTTTTCGTCTTCAGAATCAAGAAGTTTATTGCATACGTGGGGGATTCTGTAATAAAAATGTCCTGCTATTGCATTTGAGTGTTTCATAGCCTATGAGCTATGAAGGATTCCTCCTATGACCTTGGGCCTCGGCCCCCATTGAGCACCAGGCAAAGCCAACGATTCACCACCTGCAACCAGCTGCCAACCATAATCAAACCGGAAAGCTAAAGTAGGCGTTCATTGAGTCCTTGACCATCTTCATATATTAGTAACTGAAACCTGCTGTCCAAAACCAAAAGGCAAGCAACCCCTTCTCTGCTATTTTAGTTTTTGTCTTTCTCAATTAATTAGGTTTTTAGGTTTGCTTTATATGTTAATATGAAAAGTGGATTTTTTTTTTGTTTCTTGCAACATATGTGGACTGAAAGTTGAGAATTTCATCACTTAGATCATTGTGAATGTGTGATATTTTAGAAAATATGTACTATATTTCTATTGTCTATAATACTTTGTTACAACACTTCAGTCTTGTATAGTTGTTGCTTCTTTTCCCTAATTATCTTAAGTTTTTTCTGCATCATGCATGCTGAATTTTTCACAGGGTCCTTTATCGACAAAGTTGAGCATGCGATGATAAGTCTTATATGGCTTGTATGATTTGTTCAGCAAAATTAGTATGTAGATAAAGTTATAGACACAACTTTTTGTTGAATCAACAAAAAAAAAAATTGAAAAAATCAATTTACAATAATGAAGCAAATGTCGAAAGGACAGGGACTTGTGTTGTGGTGTTTGTGAAACAACTAAAATTACTACGAGCAGACATAGAAGTGTAATGGGTGAAGGAAAAACACACTTTCAGATTGGGTTCTCGAAACTAAAGGGTTTGAACTTTTGAATCACCGTAGTGTATGTTGTTGGCATATCTAACATGGAGTAATACTTTGAAGCAGAAGATGGAAGATACAGTGGAGTTTCTTTATCAAATTTGACAACATTTTGTTACGAAAAGGTTAACCCGTTCGTACAAGGCCCAAGAAATTCCTATATCAAACGCCCCTTCTTCAGAAGCTGACACCTGGCAGCTTGGTGAAGTCGGAACTCCCCCAATATCAGGAGTAACTTCCCTCTCCGGGTTCGAACTCGAGACACCGGGTTCGTAAACAAGACTCTGATACCATTGTTACGAAAAGGTTAACCCATTCGTACAAGGCCCAAGAAATTCCTATATCACATTTCTTGTTATTGGGGTGATATCTTATGTTGTTTCCGCTGATACTTTTTTAGTTTCAAATGAGAAATCTCATATTTCAAATTAACTTTTTGTAGAAGAGATAAGAAGAGGTGACATGTATTATTGTTTCATCCAACTTTATTTTGTTTTTTGTCAGTATCCAAGTTTTATTTGTTTTGTATCGATTAATTAGAATACAGTGTAATATGCCTAATGCATGGACGCAAAATTAGGTATCTAATTTTCTCTTTCTAATTGCTTCGAATTCATGATTCTAAATGCCTTAATTTGAAGCTGAAAATCCATTGAGATAGATAATGCTAGTGTTTTGAATCATATCTCATTTCATCAAGTGACTAATACAGTAATACCTAATGTCTTCGGTCATTTTTCATTTTTCACAGTCAACATTAAGTTTATCACACCATTTTGTCATTACCAAAATTGAAAGTAAAATAGAAATCGATATATTTACAGAAGCATTTACAGTATTAAATTTCTTTTTCTTTTCTTTTTATATGCCTTTTGGTATAAAAATGTTACTTGCAATTCTCAAATGGGTAACCCCAAAAAAACTTGCTTAATAACTATTGTCAAAATCTATTTTAAAAATTCTATATAATTTATGATAATTATTTTAAAAAATTATTTACATAATCTGCGTATAAAGGCTATTTATAATTCAAAAATAAGGTCCATTAGAAAAAAAAAATTATTCGCATTCTCAGTTCTTTAATAATTCAGTTTTTTTTAAAGTCAAGTGTTGTTTTCTTTAATTATATAGTATGAATAGTTTTTCACATCTATTACGAGTCTTAATTATAATCATGATTTTAATGTATTAAATTTGACCGGCAAAGTGATATAGAAATCAAATTCATTATTTTATGTCAATGCCTCAATGTAATTTTAATAAATAAAAAATATTTTAATGATAAAAATTATTATTTTAGAATAAAAAAATATTTTATATTGGTAAGTTTGTAATATGGATTCGGATTAAAAAATGCTAAGTAGAATTTTGTTTAATATAAAAAGAAAAACTGGATTACCACAATAAAATATGTGTCAGACTTTTTTATAAATAAAATTAAGTCAACTTTGTCTCTCATAAAACAATTAAGTAAGAAATTGCTCAATACTTCATACTAAACTCCAAGAACTTATTTTAGACCATAAAAAATCTTTTTTAATTTGAAAACACGTCCTTTAAAATCAAGATTTTCAAAATTAAGAGGTTGTTTTATATAAATTTCCTCTTTAATGATATCATTTAAAAAGACACTCTTTATGTCTATTTGAAATAATTTGATGTGTTTATGAGCTGTAAAGACTAATATGATTATGCTAGTTTCAAGTCTAGCAACTAGTGCGAAGGTTTCAATAAAGTTTATAACTTTTTTGTTGATTGTAGCCTTGAGTTAGCAATCTAATTTTATTTCTTACCACTTAATCTTGTTCATTCAAATTATTTCTAAATACACATCTTATTCTAATGATATGTTGATGTTTAGGCTTTGAAACTAAAGTCCAAACATCATTTCCCTAAAAGACTTCCTCCGAAACTCTTTCTATATTTTTCCTATACATAAATGTTATTATAAAATATACTGATATTAAAAATGATTAAAATCAAATAAACACCAAAATAATCAATACTTTAATATATAATTAATAAAGGCATTTTAAGTTTCAACTTAATAATTAATAAAGATTTTATAATGTAAATGATTATAAATAATTATTAGATATTCATTTAAAAATGATTACTTCAAGAAAATAATTTTTTATTTTTTAATATTTAGATAGAAACAACGAAATTAAAAAATAAAAAATATTTTAATATTTTGATGTATATAAAGTGAACAACTTCTATAGTATTTTTTCTATCTAAAATCTTCCACCAAAACATTTATCATAAACAATTAAAGTTATTATTATATAATAACACATTAATATGGAAAATTGTAACAACATCATAAAAGATTAATTTCATTAACTATTACAACTTTAAAGTAATTCTAAATGAAAAAAGTCACATAATTTAATTAAAATTAATTATCATGTTGAAATTCATGTAAAATATTTATATTGATTATTAAAACTTGATAAAAAATTGATTAAAAAATAATATTGTGGAAAATTTTAAAATAAAAATAATTTAAAATACTTTATAATATAAATCATTATTAGATTTATTTCAAATTATAAAAATTAATTGGGAAAAATAAACAAATAAAATTGAATAAAAATAAATATAGACTTCATAAAAAAATTAAATAATTAATTTTTTAAAATATTTCGACAAAATACAACTAAATTAAAACGATAAAAGACTATAATTTTAAAAAAACAATATTTTAATATAAATAAAGCGAACAACTTTTACGATATTTTTTTCTCTTTAAAATCTCCACATAAACATTCAACATATTATATAGAATTATTATTATTATTATTATTATTATTATTATTATTATATAATAACACATTAATATTATTATTGTATAAATAAAGTATTTTAATAAGAAGTTACTATTAAAGAATAAATAGTTATTATAATAACATAAAAAAACACTACCAAAAAATGACTTAAAAATTACCTTCTCATCAAGAAACAACATTTCAATCATGGAAGGATTGTTAGGATTGTTGTAGTTGAAAATTAAAAAAATATTACATTTATTTATATGAATAAAAGATAATATAGACAACTATTATAAAATCCAAAGAAGTCAATAACGAAGGAATATAAATATGCTACAACACACACATTATGATCGAAAACATTAATTTCATTAATTATTATAATTTTAAAGTAATTATAAATGAAAAAAATAATATAACTTGATTAAAAATAACTATCGCATTAAAATTCATGTAAAATATTTATAATGTTTATTAAAATTTGATAAAAAAAATGGAAAATAACGTTATGGACAATTTTACATTAATTTCATTAATTATTATAATTTTAAAGTAATTATAAATGAAAAAAATCTTATAACTTGATTAAAAATAATTATCGCATTAAAATTCATGTAAAATATTTATAATGATTATTAAAATTTGACAAAAAAATGAAAAATAAAGTTATGCACAATTTTAAAATAAAAGTAATTTAAAATATTTTTTTAATATAAATCATTACTAATCATTATTAAATTTATTTTAAATTGTAAAAAAAATTTGGGCAAATTAAAGGAATAAAAATGAATAAAAATAAATATAGATTTCATGTCAATAAATAAAATAATTAACTATTTTTAAAAAAATTATTTTGACATAAAAAAAAAATTAAAATAATAAAAATATATAATTTTCATTAAAAATAAAAATATTTTGATGGATGTAAAATGAACATGTTATATAGAATTAAACTTAAAATTATTATTATTATTATTATTACTATTATTATTATATAATAGCACATTAATATGAGAAATTGTAACAACATCATAAAAGATTAATTTCATTAATTATTACAATTTTCAAATAGTTATATTAATTATAAACAATTTTAAAATAAATATAATTAAAAATGCAAAAGAAAAACTTTACATAATTTTTTTAATCTAAATTTACATTAAATATAATAAATATTTCTTCTTGATTATAGTTAACATATAATGTTAATCACCTTCTTTTTTAAATTATATTTGTATATTTTAAACGATCAATTTTTTTTTAAGTTTAATTAATAATTAAGATTTTTTTTAAAAGAAAATAATAATATTTTTTATAAAATAATAATATTTAAGATTAGACCAATTAAATGATATTTATATTTCATGTTTATTTAAAATATTATATAATATTATGTTAATAATGAGAAAAACTCGAGCATTATATTAATATGAAAACATAACTCTTAAAAGTTTACACTTATCCTAAAATGTTCTTATTATTTAATTTATTCAACGCACAAAATATGTTTTTTATTTGGGTAGGAGAGCTTTTGTTATTTTTTTTAACCCTTGTTGGAACATGCGTCCATTTTTATAAAAACGTTTTCTTCTTATTATTAAAAACATTATATAATATTATATTAATAATGAGAAAAACTCGAGTATTATATTAATACGAAAGCATAACTCTTAAAAAGTTTACACTTATCCTAAAATATTCTTATTATTTAATTTATTCAACGCACGAAATATGTTTTTTATTTGGGTAGGAAAGCTTTTGTTATTTCTTTTAACCCTAGTTGGAACATGTGTCCATTTTTATAAAAATGTTTTCTTCTTATTATTATAAACTTAATCTTAAAAAAGAATTATATGATAATTTTTTTATACTTTTATTATTATTATAAAATCACCAAACCTGATATATTTTCTTATTGTTATTTATTTGACAATTTTACAATAAAGGGGGAAGATTCTTTCTATGTGATTTAGATATAAAAAATAAATAATTTTTTTTATAATTGTATCATATTTTAAAATATAATATAAAATATAAAAATAAATTCATTTTGCTAGATAAAGATTATTTTATTGTTGATAAAAAGATTAATTAAGTTTTCATACTTTATACTTATAAACCGACTAATTTATTTATTATTAACTATTTGTGCGATTTATGCTCTTGTTAAATCGCTTAACAAAAAATTTTCTAAAATACTTCTAAACTTGTATTTAAATTGGCTCTTAGTTAAATGCAAGGAAAATGGTGACAAAAATAAGAATAAATTATTTCAAGAGGACAATCGAAGCATATTATTTTTGTTCCTACTTATAAGATTAACTTAGAGTAATTATTTCTTCTTTTATATAAGACGTAATTAGTGTTTTAAATTGCGGACCGAATAACGTATTGCGACCGCAATATTGTGGTTGCGGCCTTGTCCGCAACAACATCGAACCGCAATTGCAGTGAGACTAAAAATCACATATTTTTTCATAACGTAACGGTGTTGCGTTTGCAACACACCTGCAATGCATCCGCAATACGACAAATTGATACTATAATTTTAAAATAAATTAAATTATTCATTAAAATAATAGAATATTTTTAGAAAAAGGAATTAAAATGTATAAATCTTTAAAAATAAAATATATATTGATAATTGTAAATTTTTTATATTTAGTGAAAATAATTAATAATTTCACACTGCAATAACCGCAATCCGCATTGCAATACCCGCAATCGCAATAACTATAACTACGATCGCAACGGCGCTCGCGACCGCAATTTAAAACCATGGACGTGATCTATAATGTTGGTGCTCTATGTAAATTCTTGCAAGCATGGACATTTAATTTTCGCTATATTATTGTTTTTTTCCATAGTTATTATTGTGTTGAACTATCTCATCAAGAAGCTGAGAAGATGAAGAAGACTATAGAAAAATAGGACATTAGATTTGTACAGGAACTTAGCCTGATGGTGGCGAGTTGCGACCTGATACACCAACAACATTTTGAAAATCGAGCTGAACATGCCAATACATACAAAGGAGCAACTCAAGATGGCATTATTTATTTATTTTGTGATGGATTCGCACGAACAACTCAAACACAGTACTACAAAGGAGGTTGAACGGTGATGGAAATTCTTATTCAATAATAATAATAATAATAAATTGTTGGGATGCAAGCAAAGTCCCACATCGTTCAAAGAAGAGGATGAACATGAGTTTATATACACAGTTGTCTCCATTGGTCTAGAAGTCTTTTAGATGATGTCCAAAAATAAATTCGTGAGGGTTTGAACCCAAAGCGGCGTATATGTGTGGTACCCATCATGCTCAACATAAATAATAATTTTTACACAATTTTTTTTTCCAATTAAGTCTTGTTATAGACTAATGTTTTAGTGCCTCAGTGAACCATTTATCAAATTTGTTCACAGTTATAAACACCTAAAATTTGGATGCCCACTAATTCAAGATTCCAAACGCAACTTTGATGGTTGGAGCATACAAACTGTGTCTATGTCAAACCCCTTTCCAAACTGGGATGCAATATATCAAGATTCCAAGAGTGAATGAGAGAGACACTGTAATAATGGCATATACATAGGCTCTCCAAGGATAGCTACTTTCTCTCATTGCATTAAACTCAGCAGCGAAAGTAGAGACAGTACTCAGACACCCCAACAGACCAAACTGAATTCCTGTTACAACAGTATCACAATCCCTGTTGTGCACCTGCACCAAACAATTAAATATTGCTTGTCACCTACAAAATTGTGATGCATATCCTCATGACTTTTTTATTGGCATATATGAGGCCAAGATTTTGAAAACTGAGATAGGAAGATAAAACCCATTTAGAGCAAAGGAGTAACAAATCAATTCAATTATTAAAAGAAGACATTTACATAGATTTTATCGGCTCATAGACTTCCACAGAAGCCACATGGAAACACCTCATGGTGTGTTTGAATTGTAGTTAAGTTCAACTGAAGGCAAATCCATTGAGTGTAGCCAGGGCCAACCAACGGATATGACCGATAAAACTTGAGCTTTAGTTTCATCAATAAAAATGATTTGATGTTAAACTTTGAAAAAGACCTACAAAAAATCTTACAATGTGACAACTAGCTTAGAGATTAGCCAATATTGCAGTCAAATATGGGGGATGAAGGCATTGGAACATGAATGATGACAAAGAAACTTACTGCATCTTTCACAGTAGCAAGTGCAGCCATAACACAAGCAGCTGATACATTGGCAATCAGAGTTCCAAATGGAATCCATTTAAGCAACCCTGCCTTTCCCAAGCCACAACCATTGAGCCGCGCCAAGAACCATCGAATCCACACACCTATTGGTCCAACCATGCAAGCAAACCATAACTCAGCAGCACTGCCACCATGCTTGAACTCAGCCTTTACTAATGCCCCGCAGACACCCCATAATATGGCCAATATCACCAAGAACATCATCATAACTGTCAACTGACGGCCACTGCTGTCTACTTTGCAGTTGATCTTAGAGCCATCACTTCCACAACTCATATTCAGCTTGTTAACAAGCCACCTGAAACCCTTTGCAGTTTCAATCCCAAATATGATGGAAAAGGCAACAAGAAATAAACCTGAAAAAATCCAAGTGTAAGACAAATGCATCTTACCAATGAGCCACTCTAAGGGGTAAAAGAAAACTCTATTTCGGATAAATACCTTGTTTAAAAATAAAGAAAACAGCCAGTAGCCTATAAAACATTCTTATTAAACTATAACTTATTTACCTACTAGAAAGCCAAGTGCAGCAAAGTGCCAGTGACCAGAAACACTTAGTTCAAGCATTTTTTGATTCCAACCACTGAAGGTTGTGAGGCTTCCTAAGTAACCAGTTGTTATTGCTATGGCTAGATGCTCTGACACACGAGATATGTCTACTTTGAATACAACACCAAACCATCCCATAAGAAATGAACCAATCTGGAACAAAATGAAAAATAATCATCTGAATCAGCTTCCTTATGAATGAACTTCAAAATGGACGTACAATTCTCTAGTGCTAGCCTTTGTGAATACAAGTTAATTTGTACATAACAGAGACACAGAAAACTAATGAATCTGGAAAAGGGGACACACCATATTAGAAGGAAGGTCAAGGTAAAGAATAGTTTGGTTGCTTGTCACACTGGCAACCCCAGGGCCAAATAACTTTTGCAGTAAATATCTTGTCAAGACCTGCATAGTTATCATGACATCTTGTGCATTAGATTCTTTTGGATAACTGCATGTCCTAACATAAAATTTGATGATAAAACAGAGCTAATCACAGCTGGGAATTTGCCATACCTTCTCAATAACAAGTAAAAGAAGTAGGAATTAAGACAACAGCAAATACAAGTAACCCCTTCTGCGTGGACTGTGCATGAAAACATAACATTCCTAACGCTGGTAATGACACATCATAATAATTTTATCTAGACAAAGCACATAGATGATACTTTGAATTGTTAATGGTTTTCTCGAGTAAATCAAATGTTTTTTCCATTTTGTTTTCCCCCCTTGTGGTGTATAAAACTACATCAACAGGGAAACATTAACACTGCAACATAAGAATACTAATGCAGCAGTGATGCTATCATAGTTCATGAGTATATCTGAAAATTCAAGGCAAAAGGTTAAGCATATTACCCCAAGAATTCCGAAAACAGCCATTTGAACCATACATGAAGCGTAGTCTAGTAACTCTGGCAAACCTCTACGAGGTTCCTGAAAGCAAGTAACAATGTGTAAAGCAGCGTGATATGGCAATATTTGGATGAATTGGCTCCATCCACAGATGTGATTAACCAACATTTAACAAACAAAACACAGAAACCAAAAACCTCAGACCACTAGAAAAGTATTGAAGAGAGCTCACATGGTTTGTGTCTTCAGAACCTACTATTTCACCTGTTGAAAGGGTGGAGTTAGGGTGCATTATTTCCTCCTGTGCAGTGGAAACAACAGCTCCATTTTCTTCTGATATGTTGTCAAAAGAGAAGTGGGTGCTACTGCTCTCACTGAACCTTCTGCTTGGAAGAGCTCTATCCCCAATATCTCCAGCCTCTGAAACTCTCTCACACTCACCATCATGGTGGCTTGTATGACTTGATATACTCATTGAACGCCTTCTGATTGAAGAACTTGTGCTGTTCATTCTCTCCATGTCAACACAAACACAAGGCCTGTTTCTACTTACACTGCATTGAACACCTCAACCTTGTTTATTTTGCTCTATATTTTCCAAAAATATGATAGGATTCACAAGTTTGAATAACAATCTGCTGCTTACCCATTTTGTTATCTTGAGATATTTAACAACAATTATACTTACGGTCTCAACACAAAATAGATAACAGTAATACTTATCTATTTTTAATAATTTTAAAAAAATGAACAGTTTCCACCCTAACACAGAAAATGAAACAAACATGTTATAATCAATTTAACACAGGATGCAAGCAGATTTTCTAGTTCTACCTAGGTGATGGTTTATGGATTACAAGGATAAACATATAGAAAATATCATCAAGTTCTAAAAAACAGTCTACTACCTTGACTTCAGCATTAATGTTAAGGTTAACACAATTGGAGTTGCATTGACCGTATTTGTTTGCAATTTCTCACAGAAGAAGGATCAGGATAAAACAGTGATTATCGACCACCAACATATGTTATTGGTATTGTTCCAAATATTCATTCCTTGGCTTGCGCAATGTGTTGAAAAACTAGTCATATGATCAAAATATATTATATAAATAAAAAATATCATTTTCTAAACTAGTTTTATAAAATTGAAATAGACTTTAAATCTCACATTTTAAGAATTTGACTTGATTAGTAACCAAATTTAAAACTTGGGAAAATATCTAAAGATAAAGAAATAGCAACAAAAAAGGTGATATCAAAATTAGGAAAAATTAAAGACAATTGTAATTAATTAACATAAACTAAGTTGTATCTACAGAAATTTTAAAAGTTTCAATAATGGGGTTGCAGTATGAATCCCTGGCTACAGGGTACGAAATTCTACGATTATGATTTTGAGTCATCCTTTGTGCGAGTTATCTTTGGGCATACGCAATAAGAAATTCAAATTTCAAAGCGCTACTGAATTACTAACCTGAACCAGACAAATTAAAAATGACGCAATTTAAAAAAAAAAAAAAAACACTTAGTATGCGAAACAAAGGAGATTCATATTTCAAATGTAAGGCGCCGTTTTTTACATGAAAACAAATGTGAAAGAATGAGGCAGGAGGAGGGTTGCTTTAATTTGTTGGATTATATAAACCTATTTTGGTTAATCATAACTACATGGAACCCATTTTAATCAACTCACAATTTGATGTATTGTTTGTTTATTTGTGAAAAATAAAAATAAGTTTAAATATATTTTTAATCTGAATTTTTTTTATTTATTTTAATCTTTATAAAAAAATTTATTTTTCATCTATCTAAAATTAAAATTTTTACTTTAGGTCTCGAATATTTTTTTAGTAATTTTTAATTACTTTTGTGTTTATCATATGGTCAAGTGTTCATTTCTAGTAATACACACAATTATATTTGATATCATGTTAGGATATGATAATTCTAATTTTTTTTTTATAAATTTTTAAATAAATGTTATTTATCTACCTTAAAATAAACACTGGGAGACCAAAAATAGTGACTTTAGGTTTTATAAGAATGAAAATTTAAAAAATATATTTTAAAAAGATCAAAATCAAAATTTGTTCAAGAATAAAATTACAAAAAAAAATAATTATAGAGACTAAAATAAAAATATAAAGCATAAGTTATTGAATGATATAAGTTTACAAAGCCTTACTCCCAAAATAACACACACATATATAAGTAAATCATTATACAAGGTCTAAATTTCACTCCACGATGATGACAAACTCATACGAAAAGTGTGATATAAGTATTGAGCTATCATTGGGAGAATAAGAAATTATAAAACAAGAATTATTTCATATTCAATATATTTTGTAAGGAAAGACCCTTAAATCTTCTTTATAAAGAGTAAAAAGTATAATTGATTCATATTGTATTAGAGTGTTTTGTTCATCCAATAACAAGGAAAAAAAGCCCTTAATCAATTTCGCAAATTGTTCAACCATGCTCATGAATTTTTACGAATTTGGGAGAATAAAGGTTCTTCACCGTAGAGAAAAAAAAAACTTCAATTACTTAATGCATGATTAACCAAATGCTATGAAAAGAAACTATGTTGGTCAAGATCTAGGAAAACAAAACCCTTAAATCAATTTCGAAAGGCAGTCTGTAACGTAGTTAGTAACCCAGAATGGGTCGTTCCAAAATTGGAACGGGCTGTTCCAAACTACTAAAACAAGGATAATTTAATAGCCTAGAACGGGCCGTTCTCAAACTGGAACGGGCTGTTCCAAACTACTAAATTGGATTAAAAATCCTAATTGAGAACAGGTCGTTTCAAATTGGCTGTTATGGATAAAAATGCAACCCCAGAACGGGCCGTTCTGGTTTGAGAACGGGCCGTTCTAGATGTAAATTTTACACATGACGTTTGAATTCAGAACAGGTCATTCCAGATTTGAAACGGGCCGTTCTGGCCACTCCTGAATTTCTATATATAAGACCTATGTGCAGTTGAGGAGGCAAGGTTTTAGAGAGAGGTTCTAGAGAGAAGGACTCTGGGTTTGTGAGCTCGTTTCTCTCTCAACTTTCTCTGTATAATTCTTCTTCTCCTCTAGGTCACTAATTCTTCTGTCTTCCCTTGAATTTCAGACTAAACTTTTGGAGGATTAAAGTTCAAGAGTCGAGCTCAGATATTTCGTCTTCTTCTCCTTCTTCTCAATTCTTGGCTTTTCAGAGCCAATTTTCAGGTGAGGGAAGCTAGAATGTAGGTTGTTTAATTTTAGGAGAATTGGAACTCCATTGATGTATGATTTTGAGAAGTGGTTGAATTAAAGAAATTCCTCATTTTTAGGGTTTTGGGAAAAATGGGGTTTTTGATGATTTTAATGAGTTGATTTGTTGTTTGTTGAATCTGAGTTCATTTTTGAACTGTATGAAGCTTATATGTTGCGTAATTGATGGAATTAAGTTGTTCACATGTTGTTAAAATTATTAAAGTTGTATAGTGGTATAGTTGAATAGAAAGTTGTCAAGCTGGTATATAAGATGTTTATTGTTGTATTGCTGTAAGTTGCCTATTGTTGTATTACTATAAGTTGCCTATTGTTGTATTACTATAAGTTGCCTATTGTTGTATTACTGTAAGTTGCCTATTGCTGTAAGATATCTATTGTTGTGTTGCTGTAAGTTGCCTATTGCTGTAAGATATTTATTGTTGTGTTGCTGTAAGTTGCCTATTGTTGTAAGATGTCTATTGTTGTATTGTTGTAAATGTCCTATTGTTATAAGATGCCTACTGTCGCATTATTGTAAAGTTGAAAAGTTGGGGACATATGGAGAAGATATATGTCCTATGTTGAGATACATAGTACTAAGGTGATAAGTTGAAAGTTGTTTTAAAGTTGAATACCTTAGTACTGTGTGGGCGATGTGGAAATAATTGATCTATGTCATGGTTGAATGACTAATTTGAGTAAGGTATCTAGTTAGAAATGTAGTCTTTGACTAGGTACTGGAGGGTGCATGGTACTTGGAGGACAGTGGGTGGGCTAACTCCATATGTGGATTGGTGATGCTAGCCAAGGCCGTGGTAGGCTCGTACCCAAACCCTGCTGTCCTGACAGTAGTACTGGACTTCTGAGTCTAAGTGGCACACTTGAGAAATCGCCTATTGTTGTCTATACCTGCTTTTCTTCGAAGTTCCTAACGATGTTCTATACCTAACCTGGTTAAGATAGGTCAAATGTTGGATTTGGTAGGGTTTATGCCACCTAGACTGCTCAATCTCAATTATTGGAGATCTCCTAGTTGTATATGTGTGACGACGCATTAAATTTTAAGTTGTATGTTGTTGTGGTTGTATTAAAGTTGCTTCTAAGTTGTATGAATGAGTTGAGTTTTTATGTTGAACTGTGTGGTTGCGTTGTGATGATGATTGGATGTCTGAGTAGTATAGTATTATCTTATACTTGTATGATTGTTTATTGAACTCTAGCTTACCCTTCTGTTTTCATGTGGATGGACTGCCATGATCATACTGTGTATGGGAGCAAATTAGGGCTAGGTTGGAGTTGTTGGCTGCATCCGCTGCTAGAAGTGGAATTTTGTTTTGGTTTCTAGAATCAGAGTTACCATTTTGGATAACAGTTGTTATGTTTGACCGACACTAGGAGATGTTAGATTTGGATAATTGTATAAGTACTCTATATTTAAAATAATAAATGATTCTCTTTTTCGTATTTTTATATTTATACAATTTTATTATTCATCTTAGTTTACTATGAATATTGCGATTCTACTAAGTGTAGGGACCACGGCGGGTCGTTACACAGTCGAACAAGTTTCATGATCAATGAAAAAGAAATGTAGCGAGAGGTATATACTGTTTCAAAACCATACAATTCCCTTAAATCAATTATCTAAAAAAGGAAAACTAACAGTTGTAACATGTATCTCTATGGCGCTAATATCAACTGATAAAACTTATTAACCTTGAAATGAAATATATACAAATCGCAACATATTGTTAATGAGTATGAGAGGAATAACGAATCATACACATGATATAAGTTCTTCCTAAAATACAAGGAGAATTGGAATGAGAGAAGACTTTTCTTAATCATGATTAGTTCATCAGTCCATTTAATTGTTTAATGGGATAACAATTAACCTATCATATGAGGGTAGGAACCTCTCATTGGGCATAAATTGAATTGTCCAACCCATCATAGACCAGTTACAGCACAAGTCCAATATAATATTCATAGGTGTTAAAAGGATTATTGACCATAACTAGTATATTAATAAATTAAAGAATAATTCTTAATAATTGATTAATGTTAATCCATAAAATAAATTAATTAAATAATTGATTCAACATGGGAGAGATAGAAAGGCACAAGGAGAGGAAGATGATATTAAAGAATCAAACAAGTTTGTGGGAAACATATGGTTAAAGGGTGTAATTGAGTATGAGGAAAAATAAAGAAGAAAATAATATAAAATACACTAGCATCTTCAATTATGGTGTTAATGGAAATTGCAAACCCATTTCTCTGATTTTGTAATCTTTTATCTTTT